GAGTGTTTGCGGTTGGGGTGTGTGAAATGAGGGAAAAATCAGTCATTTTTTATATATATACACAAGAGACTTCGGCAGTAAACACTTCCCGAGGAGATAAGATCCTTAGGTTCACGACCGAGAAGGGTTCATGGTCATGCGAGGGTTCACTGCAGCGTAGGGAGTTCACGGTCATGAACCGTTTGCGGCCCGAAGTGTGTGTCCGCCCATGGCATGTTTGTCGTCCGAAGGAAAGAAAGAAGAAAAAGATGCGAGGATTCTCGGTTCTAAAAGTTTTCCTTCTTAAACACACAACTCCTTTGAATTAAAGGTTTTTAAGCTAAATTTTTAGATATAAATCTACTTAATATAAGATAGATGAAAATGAAAAGTTTGACTTTTACAATAACAGAAATGTCGGGTTGTCACATCATCCCCCCGTTAGAGGGAATTTCGTCCCGGAATTCAAACTCTGAGTGGTTACTAGGAATTGGGAAAAAAGTGAGTACTTCGATTTCCTCGAAACTTCTCTTTCTTATGTGAATTTCTGATCCTTGCTGGTGTTCCAGCGGATCTTCACTTTTGCGTTTTCTGTTTTGATCGATAGAAAGTAGGTGAGTTTGATTTACTTAACTACGTTTATCCAACTGGTAAGATATCCATTCGTAGTTCTGGGCAGCTTTTGTCCTGAAGTTCATAGTAGGATTTATACCTGATCCATCTATCATTACCTCGTGTATACAAGTTGTATATACTTAACATTAATGAGATGGTCGGATGTACGACTCTGCCCCAAGTCCACAACCAGACAAGGATTTATACCTGATCCATCTATCTTATGTGGTTCACTTCCTAACACACAGCCCTTACGTATACTAGTTCTAGAAACCTATAAGTTTGACCTTCGGTTGATGTGTTTGACCTTACAAGATAGAAATTTCGGGTTGTGACATCATCCCCTCGTTCGATGGAATTTTGTCCCGAAATTTGCTTTCTTAGCAGGACTTTTGGGGTCGTGCTCCTCGAAATGGTAGAATATCCACTCGTAGACCTGGACAACTTTGCCCTGAAGTTCATGATAGGATTCATACCTGGTCCATCTATCATTACCTCATGTATACAAGTCGTATATAATTAAGATTAGTAAGACGGTCGGATGTACGACTCTTCCCCAGGTCCACAACCAGACAAAGAACAGGAGATCGGGCGGAAACACACATCCTAGGTTTATAGAATCTTAATTATATACCATTCTCGCGTATACACTTAACAGTGATAGGTTAACCGTATTTGTCCTTAGCCTCTGTGCTTGAACCTGACTTGCTGCATATGTGGTATTTCCAAAAAAGGTCTGCTGGGAAATTTCGCGAAGCCACGGATTTTTAGAATACCCTTTGTTGTTTTTCACTTTAAGTTTTCTTGTCTACGGAATAAACTAGGAAGACGTGGTACCCCTCGCATGGGTACTTCTGAATTTTTGAAGGAAAAGATGATTCTGAGGTTCGTATCTAGTTTATTGCTATGAGTGACGAAAGTTTCGTTAGTCGGTCGTTTAAGACGAAGGGTCATTACGTGGCATAGGAAATTGGTATGGTGAGGACCAAACCAATCCATGACATCAGAACTTCTTATCGTAACCGTTGTTAAGTCGATTAGGAAAAAGTGTTTGTTTTATCCTTGTTTTATCCCTAATAGGTCCCTCTATAATCGCTTGGTGTATACAAGTCATGTATAATTAAGATTGGAAAGACAGTCGACTGAGTGACCCTGCCCTAAATCCACAACCAAACAAGGAACAGGAGATAAGGCGTAATCACTCACTCTATGCCTACAAATCTTAATTATAAATGACCCTAATGTATACACTAAACCATCATAGCTTACATGCAAGGTTTCTTAATTCTTATATGAACGATGTGTTAACTTACGATTTTGAATTTTAATTGTTAAATATTTTCCGTGAAAACTCGATGTTTAATTATTGTTGTTTTAGAAAACGTACCAAAATTCTAGAAGGTTCCTCGTTGATCCTTTATGTCCTATCGTTAAACTCCTATCGTTCCTCTGTCATTCTTCTCTGTTGGACAATCTCTCTTGAAATGTCCCATTTCACCACATGCATGGCATACTTGACTTGTATTAGCATCGGTGGTTGGAGTAATGTGTTGGACTGGAATTCTACAGAAACGGGTAGTATGCCCATTCTTGTTGTAGTTCTTGCAATGCAACTCTCGGCAGGCTCCATAATGATGGAAATTGCACTTGTTGCATTTTGGGCGTACCCCAGCATATTGTCGCACTAGCGTTGGTGCTGGAGTAGCAGATGTTGTGGTTGCAGGGGCGACAGATGTTGTAGCTGTAGGGGCTACCACAGGTTGCTGTCTCTTGGCAAGTTTTTGAAATAACTTGCGCTCCTTTTTGTTCCAGAACTTTCGTTTCTTGTTCTTAGGTTTGTGGGTTGAGGTATTCTCGTAGGTAAGCACCCGTTGGTTTCCTTGGTTGTTACTACGGTTTGAAGTGCCGACACTGTTTCTATTTTCATTTGGGTTGTTAGCATTGAATTGTGCCATGACAGCTGTCACGACAGCTGTTACGGCGGCTTGGAATGTAGCGGAGTCTATATGTAGGATCGTGGTTTCTTCGGTTGGCCGGTTATTTCCATGTGAAGACATGACTCTGTTATATAATGTGAAGCGAGTTTGTTAATAACTATGATCGTTTCTAGTTGTACTTTATCTATTTATATATACATATAAAATTTTCGTTTTGTTGTATGGTTCTCAATGTTTCGACCTACACCCTTATGATGCAGTCCTGGTAAAGAGCAGAAGTAAGTTTTTAGAATGGTTATAAACCGAGTGTCTTCCGAAATAAGTTATCTTAGATCGGTGGATATCATGTTCCAACTTTCAAAAAGGTTTGAAAACAATTCATAACAGAGTCTATATAAAACAGACTCATGAATTTTTATAAATAATCACTCTCAAATGAGATTTCGTGATCCGATTTACTGTTATTAGTTGTGACGGAAAAAGGAAATAAGCTTAATACCTAACGTGAGTAGTATAGTCACCAACTCAGTAGGTTGTATTAATTTATTAGCTATTAGAGTGACGCAAAACGTACTCAAACACTTCGCATGTTTCATGCGTGCCTTCCCTCTGTTCTCTGTTCTACTCAGGCGGTAAAGATTTGATCTATCCTGGTATCTATATGGTATCCTTCTCCTTCGTAGGTATATTGAATTCCCGTGCCATCATACTTCAGGTTTTGGCACTGATCCCTCATTACTTCATAATAGAGAGTTTGAATCCCGAAAGTTCATGCGAACTTCTCATCAGTGCCCTTAATAAGGTAAAGGCACTTGGTGGTTTCTATAGTTTCTTTACTCCTCAACTGTTTCTTTCTCGGAATCCTCCTCATGAACCCTCTTTTGGTTCTGCCTCAAATCCTCTGTTGACTGTTGTAATGGGGTGGTTACATCTATCTATGTTGTTCTTGCGAGAACGAGAATGTCAAAAGAATCTACGATATTAATAAAATATTTTTATTAAAAATAACTTTTACGAGAATGATCCTTACTAGGTCTTTCTATAATTACTTAGTGTATACATATTATATATAATCCAAATCAAATAGACCTTCGAATAAGTGATCCTACTCTAAAACCACATCCAAACAAGGAAAAGGAAGTAGAGTGAAAATCACAAATTCTAAGCCTATAAAATCTCAATTATATATAACCTTATGTATACACTCAGTAATTATAACCTTACCAGTAAAGGTCTTTTAGTTTTCACATAAGTTATTTATTGTACTTAAAATACTCCTGTAGTATTTTAACTTTATGTTTTGTTCTAGTATTTCTTCATATATAGGGTTGGTAAGTTTTAGACTTGTTGCAACACCACCATCAATCCCAAACACATGTTGGTCGTATCTCAAATAAATATAGTTGATCAAGCTATATTTATTCAAGATATGATTACATAACTGTCCAGGTTTGACTGTAGTGTCCAGCATCCAAATACTTTTGTTTTGTTCTTCTTGTGATACTTGATCTAGTATATATATATATATATATATATATATATATATATATATATATATATATATATAGGCTTAGGTTATTTTGTTTAGAGTATCTATTGTGTTATTGTATGCATAAATGTGAGCCAATCAAATTTATAGATTTTAAGAAAGTGATTAATATATATTATTGAATTAAATATAATTGAAAAATATCATCTTAATTAATTATAAGGGTAATTCAGTCAATTAATATAGACTTAATAAAGGAAAATTGCATTTTTTAAGGGATCATAGATTCTATTAATTTTAAAAATCCGAGTTTAAGAATTATAATTATTTTAATTCGGACATTCTGACAGAATATGTTTATGAGTATATTCAAAATTAAAAATATTCTTGAACCATAAATAATAAAAATATTCTTGAACCTATTTTTTGATCATGAATTTAAAAACTTCTTGTAGAATAACAAATTCTTGAACAATCACTAGAAGAATAAAAACAAAAAATACATTATTTCTTATAGTATACGGGTAAAAATTGTTAATAATTACATTTATTGTTAAAGAATAAAACTAAAAAACAATCAAAACCGGAAAGAATACATCAAAATCTAACAACGACTAATACATTCTAAAAGAAAAATGTGGTCCGTTTCAATTTTGTGGTCCGTTCTTCAAGCATCAACTTCTGTGATTCCAACAGAATTGGAATTCGTCATTCCATTCGAACAGAATTGGAATTCGTGATTTCATCATCATTTTCCCGGCTCTGTAAGTAATCAACATCTCCAACATATTCAGTGATTATTGTCCAGTCTTTGATACATTTATCAGCTTCTACGGTGAATCTGCAACAATAACATATATATATATTAATATCAAGAACACCAAAGGTTTAGGCACAAAAACCCACTTACCCTTCTACAGGATCAAAAACAACCATGAGTGGAGGGCATTCCCCTCTCCTCATCATGCTCTTGCACAGATTCAAGGCCTCAGTGTCTTCTTTGATAAAACCTGCATCCCCTCTTTCTCATAAGCAGGACGATTAGCTGACCTAGGAGCCATGCCATGAATATATGTGAGCTCATTACTGAACTCAACTTCTGTAGCTGTCAATGCTGTGGCTAGTGATGCCATTTGTTCTAGTCTTCTTGCAGGATCCTCACTTGGACTATATGGTAACAGCCTCCTTCTCTTCTTTGATGCCGCTATGTAACTTTTTCGCCTCCTTTTCTTGCCTATATCTACAATCATATAACAAAACAACTCTTACCAATCTTTTTCTATAAAGCAATAAAGCATAAACTACATGAATAAATGATATCTTATCTACCTTGACAATATTCTTCAGCTGAGTTAGAGGACCTCTGGATGCGAAAAAAATCAATGATTTTTGTTTGAACCAATGGGAATCCTGGGTACAGAACAAGAAATGACATTGTTAAAGGTAAACCAATCACTTCTGAAACCTGTACTGAACATCATGTACACATACAGCAATGCATATATACGTAACCTTAAGCATATAATTCTAAGGCTTGTATCCTAGAAATTGGGGGTTGTTCCTACTCAAGAATTTACCAAGAGATTTTACCCTATCGGTTACCTGGATTATCATTCACATAATCAAGCGAATCAATTGCAATTGACGAGGAACCTGAATCGGGGATGAGGGTCGTCTCCTGTGGTCGGAGGTAAGCAGCGTGGAGGAAACGCCAGTGTTGAGTAGCGTCTCTGCTTCTTTCCCCTTCCTCTTCTTCCGCCTAAGTCGAACCCTCGAGGCCATCACCGATTGCGAATCGATAAGATCAGCAGCCATCGGACCTCCTCCCTTCGCATCTCACAGCCAGAGAAGAACAATTGAAGAATGCATGAGTGAGAACGAAGACGACCTGTGCATCGATTCACTTGCTAAGGTTTCTGTCCTTGCCGCTTGGTCTAGCACTTCAAGTAAGAGCATTACAGAGAGTGTCCATGGGGTCGTTGTCAAAAAGGGTTGATTAGGGTTACGGTTTTAAAAGACGATGGGTGGAGAAAACTAAGTCAATTGTTACCTTAATTATAGGATATTATCTGTGGAAAGTAATTATCAAATTACCTATTTACCCTTATTTATTTATTTAATTATTTATTTTTATTTTAAATTTTGATTGGCCCATATTTATGCATACAATAACACAATACTTACTTTAAACACCTGAACCTATCTCTCTCTCTCTCTCTATATATATATATATATATATATATATATATATATATATATATATATATATATATACTTTTTTATAAAAATATTATTATATTTTAAAAGTATACTTTTAGTCAGAGCACTTCGGCCCCATTGTATTTATAGTTGTATATCTTTTATAGGTTGATATACTTAGTTTACTATAAACAATGCTCTGATACCAATCTGTCACACCCCCAAACCGAAACGACGGAAATGTTCGGCGGTGGATAACTTCATGTTAAGTATCACAACACATGCATCATAGTAATCAAAGTAACAACAACCATCATATTGATAATATAATATTTACATTGTGTTCAAAACGTTACTTGAAATACATTAAAAGTACAACAAAAGTTAAGGCGTAAAGCTTCGTCTTCGCAACACCTGAGAGGATACCTGCCTACTAATGATCCTGAGAATACAAGTGGTTTGAAAAAGTGTCAACACTAAAGTTGGTGAGTTCATAAGTATTTTTGTTATAAAAAGTATACTCTTGGTTCTTTAGAAAAAGTTCGCCGGTTCCTTCAGAAAATCCTATATTTTCTTAATAAGTAAAATGACTGTAGTTAATCCTTCTGTAATCTTTTAGTGCATACAAATTATATATAATACAGATCGATTAGACAGTTGAATGTGTGAATCTGCCCTAAGCCCACAAGCAAACAAGAACAGGAAATGAGGCAGAAGTCACACATTCCACTGTCTACCGGATCTTCATAATATATAATCCTAATGTATTCATCAAGTAATTATAGAATTAACATTAATGATTCTCTGGTAGAATGGTATCCACAATACTTCCTTATCTAATCACTTAGTTTATACTAACTATATATAACCTAATATCGAACGGACAGTGGAATGTGTGAATCTACCCTAAGCCCACAACCAAACAAGGAACAGGAAATGAGGCGGAAGTCACACATTCCACTGCCTATCGGATATTATTTATATATAACTTTGATGTATAAACTAAAGAATTATAGAATTAACCATTTAAGGTCCTTTATGTTATACTAGTTTAATAATTTAAACTAGTTTTGTAAATATGTTTCTAGTTTCACTTACTCTACTGTGAAACAATGTTTTCAGTGATAATTGATATCGTTTTCAGAAAGTTCTATCGAAAATTGTTTACCTTTAAAAATAACGATGTTTACCAAAGAAAATCCTATATTTTCTATAAAGCTGGCTGGTATTCTTAATCATTCCGATACCGAAAATCACAAACATAATTACTATACTTACTTTAAGGGTATCTAGTTTTGTTGATAAGTTAAACTGGATAAAGAATTGTTTACCCTGAAAACCTGATGCGGCGATACTACCCTCCTATGATCACTTAATACATATGAGTTGTATATAACCGAGATCGAACACACAGTTGAATGGGTGAATCTGCCCTAAGCCCACAACCAAACAAGGAACATGAAATGTGGCGGAAGTCACACATTCCACTGTCTATCGGATTTCAATTTTATCTAACCTTATAATATATACTGAGTATCATATAGTTAATATCCCTTAGGAAAGTTTAGGAAAAGTATATTACTATGTAAATATATCGTTATTTCTCCTTGTGTGTTATATGACCATACCGACTGATACGACGGGTAATGGGATGTCGGTATCGTTTATGACATTTGTCACCCGCTAACCTGCCGATCCAACTGTAGCTAACAGTAGCAGTGAGGGATTTTTAGTCCCATATAGATCTATATACAAGTGTCACGCTCTCCCTCCAGGAGACTCTGGATCATAAAGATGGACTTCCACTGATACTTAAGTAAGTACTGAAGACGCGTCTCAGAAACTAGATTAACGACTTTACAAGTAATAATGCGAAAACCATTTTATAAACAACTGGTAGTTTTGTAAAAAGATCCATTTGTTCCATAAACTATATTTATCATAGTTTATAAGTTTATTTCCATGTTTTAACAATTTTCATGTTTTCATTCATATTGACGGCAAGATAACGAAGTAATTAAAATTTCATTTTTAAACACAAGATTTCTTGTGTTTTACTTGTATTCCCCCCTAAAAAGCATTTAAAAACATTTTAAAAAGGTAGATTATAGGGGTATAAACTCACCTTATTTGAGTGATTCAATTGATGATTCGATATAGGATGATAAGTTTCACGAGTGGAGTCCTAAAGCACAAACAAGTCCTAAATAGCATATTGTGACATATATATGTATACAGTTAGTGTATTTAACATCTAAGGTGCAAAGGAAACAGCCTATGAAGTAGGGAGAACTTACAAAGAAGTGTTAGTATCGAAAATTGGAAGGCTGAAAGTTGATCACGGCCAGGATTGATGGGTTCACGGCCCCATGAAGGGTTCACGACCCATGGATGGTTCACGACCCTAAGAAGGGTTCACGGACCTAAGAAGAAAAGAACACTTGAAGATCTTGATGATTGGCGAGTGTTTGAAGGTCCTAAGTGGTATACTAAGGAGATGCAAAAGGAAAAGGGATGAAAAGAGTGAAAATGGTGTTCTTGGTATATGATACTTGAGAGAGAAAGGGAGGGTTTTCGGCCAAGAGATAAATGAGGATAAAATCGAACAACCTCATATATATAAGGGATAGTTCACGGCCAAGGGAGGGTTCACAGCCATGAACCTAGTTTGCATCCGTGAACCTCACTCGTTGAGGTTTATGGTTCGAATGTAGTTCTTAGTTCTCGGTTCTTACGTGGTTCACTTCCTAACACACAACCCTTACGTATACTAGGTCTAGAAACCTATAAGTTTGACCTTCGGTTGATGTGTTTGACCTTACAAGATAGAAATTTCGGGTTGTGACAGTTTTCTTGTCTATAGAATAAACTAGGAAGACGTGGTACCCCTCGCATGGGTACTTCTGAAGTTTTGAAGCGAAAGACGATTTTGAGGTTCGTATCTAGTTTATTGTTATGAGTGACGGAAGTTTCATTAGTCGGCCGTTTAAGGTGAAGGGTCATTACGTGGCATAGGAACTTGGTATGGTGAGGACCAAACCAATCCATTTCTAAGAACGACATCAGAACTTCTTATCATAACGGTTGTTAAGTCGATTAGGAAAAAGTATTTGTTTTATCCTTACTAGGCCCCTCTATAATCTCTTGGTGTATACAAGTCATGTATAATTAAGATTGGAAAGACAGTCGACTGGGTGACCCTGCCCTAAATCCACAACCAAACAAGGAACAGGAGATAAGGCGGAATCACTCACTCTATGCCTACAAATATTAATTATAAATGACCCTAATGTATACACTAAGCCATCATAGCTTACCCGCAAGGGTTCTTAATTCTTATATGAACGATGTGTTAACTTACGATTTTGAACTTTAATTGTTAAATATTTTCCGTGAAAACTCGATGTTTAATTATTGTTGTTTTAGAAAACGTACCAAAATCCTTGAAGGTTCCTCGTTGCTCCTTTATGTCCTATCGTTAAACTCCTCCCGTTTCTCCGTCATTCTTCTCTGTTGGACAACCTCTCTTGAAATGTCCCATTTCACCACATGCATGACATACTTGAATTGTACTAGCATCAGTGGTTGAAGTTATGTGTTGGGTCGGAGTCATACATAAACGAGCTTCTTCATCATTCCTCGTTTTTGGACAATTTATTTTGAAATGTCCGGATTCTTCGCACCCGTAACTAGCCTGGCTTACTCCAGCGCCTGGAACCATCTACCATGGGGGGAGCTAATGCACAGGGAAGAAGCTTAGATAAGAGAATACGTTTCGCTTTTTTTTGTCGAAAGCTCGACCAGCGAGAAAAAGTTTTTTGGCCGAAGGGTCGAAGCACTAAAAGAAAAGGACCGGGAAAGGCGGCGGCATAGGAACCACGTGACCCCTACTAGTCAAGGGAAAACGGAAGTGCGCTACTGCGCACCAGCTGAAAAAGCCCTTTCCCTTTTTAATAAAAAGAAGGTAAGCTTCATAGGGTGATGTGGTTGTTCCATCGGTTTTCTTTATGGAGGGATCTCTTATTCAAGATATTCTTGAAAGGCGGATTGACAAGTGCGACGAGGAGATGGAGATTCCAGAAAAGTCTACGAATAAGTAAGTGAAGGCTTGGCTTACGTGCTCAGCTCAAGCAAGAAGAAGCTAGAAAGTCAAGCCTATTGAATGGTGGCAGAGGGAGTGGAGGTCTAAAAGTCGCTTGTATTTGGTCGTCCAGTTCTTCCGGGAGGAAAGGGGCATTCTTCACTCCTTCGCGACGCCTCTATGTACTACATAAGGGGCGGACTAAGGGCCCATTGGTTCTACCTTCTTTTCTTTGTCGGCGACAAGGGATCTCTCAACCCCCGCTAAGCATCCATAGCTAAATGGTTCAACATTTGAAGTTCTTTCCAAATGGTTCAACATTTGAAGTTCTTTCCTTGGTCTTCATTCAGTGAAAGGAGTGAAGCTTTCCGCAGCTGGAAAGCGGAGACCCTCTGGAAGTTAGGTGGTTGGTGGAACCAGTGATCTGCAGAAACGAGTGGTGTGTCCTTTTCTGTTGTAGTTCTTACAATACATTCTGCGGCATTTTCCTGTGTTATGGAAATTGCATTTCTTGCAATCCGGTAGGTTTCCAGCA